AGTTCTGAATCTCTCGCAAGGATTCCAACGGTGAATGATGATCCGGCGATTAGAGCGTTGGGAACCGAAGGATCGTAGGTTGAAACACTTAAATTTGTGAGGCCTGGAATTGCGTAGAATTGTAGGATCCGTGAGAGCTGCTTGTTGTCCGAGAAGGAATAGATTGTTGCAAGGTAAGTGCCCTTTGAGGTAGGGAGCCATGTGATGATGTAAGCACCGTTTTGTAAATCAGTTATGCTGGACTTCACAACCATGTTTCCTGGAGTATCTGTGAATTGAATTGAGAACGATAAGCCTCCAGTTGTAAGATTATTCTCAAATGTATCCCTGGATTGCATCAGTAAATAGACTTGCTCACGAGTTCTTACAATATTGAAATTCACAAATGAAATGTTCAGAATCGTCTTCTCGAGTTCCATCTTAGAAGAAACAACGCTAATAGTAGCTGGTGAAGATGGAATCGGTTGCTGGAACAATGATATTTGCACTGAATATTGTCCAGCTTTGGTCAAGTATATGTTGTATTCTCGCAATCCGGGGTTCGACTTGGTGGGTTGCTGAGACTCGTATACTTCAAGGCATGGCCATTGATCACATGAACCTGACGACGGGATAACAGAGACCTCAAACTTTGCTGTCACATTGTAGTTCTCATTTCCAAATATGTCAGCCATGAAGGCAGTAAAAAGCCTCGGTTGACCCGCCTGAATCGGAGAAGTCGAAAGAGAGAATGTCGAAGCTTTGGCACTGGGGATGCTGGGCAACACAGAGACGTTGAACGGACTTCCTTGAACCTGTCGAGCACTGCTTTGGAGTCTTATTTCAAGCACATACAGTCCAGCTCTTGTCACCAAGTATTGACAGATGTGTTTGAAAGAAGAATACGAGACTGATAGGGTCGATATCTCATTCCCAATTCTGAGAAATACTTCAAAGGAATCAGATAGGAGAGTGCCATCCTGCAACACTGGGTTTCCGTAAGTGTCAAAGCTCGTGATAGAAAACGATGCGGCAGTTCCCACCGTAGCGAGACTTACAGCACTCCCTTGAATGCGACAATTCGAAGCATTTGTGATATTCGGAACGTAAGTTATGTTGAATGGACTTCCCTTGATATTTTCAGATGCAAGGAATACCCGAATCTGGTATTGACTTGCCCTTGTAAGTATGAATTCCGCGGTATAGGTTCCATCTTGACGGTCTGTACAGTTCCTTACAACACCTGAATCGATCCTAAAACTCACGGGATATCCTCCTGAAATCAGCCTTATTCCTTTTCTGTCTTTGATGACTACAAGGAAGATGGTTCTCACTCCTGCTATCTGTGTTTGAATCACAGCTGGATTGCCATCGCCCTCACCGGTTATCATGCTCATTGATGCATCGGGTGCTCCGGGATTTGCTACGATCTCAAAGATAAAAGGACTAATTGAGGCATGTTGTGTACCTCGAAGAACCACAGAGACCGTTAAATTGATAGCGTAGTCCGTCGTTGCAAAGCTTGCTCCATATAAGCCATTGCCAACCGCCGATATCTTGACAGTAGATACTGCTGGCTGCAGAAAGACTTTCCAATCTTCGGTTGTCGAGCCAGCGTTATTCCCATATTTATCCCTGGACCTTATCCAAAAGGTGACCTTGTCTTTGATCGAGCCACCAGAAGCATCGAATATCAGGCTTGCGCTCGCATCCACGATTTCAGGGAAAAGTTGAAGCAGTGTGGACGACCCAATGTCACTGATGCCATATTTGACACTCAGCGAATACTGCCCACTTCTCGTGATTGCAAATATGAACTTCTGATTTCCAATCACTTGAAATGCTAAATTGCTGTCATCCGTTTTCGATGCGATCAAAACAGAGAAATTCATCGATTCAAGAATTGTGTTTCCAAAAGTGTCTTTTGGGACAACAACGAGATCACGGGAGGATCCAGCGACCCCCTGATTGAAACCAGTGCTGAAGGAAGTAAACGAAGCTTTGATATCAATTGAAGACGCTTGAATCCTAGAAGAGATGGGACTGCCTTGAATGTGGAACGATCCGCACAGAATTGAGAGGGTGTAGGAACCAGCAAATGTAGCCATATAAGTTGCTATCAAGGTCCCGTTCCGAGCATCAGTCAGCAATCCTTGTCCCACAGGGTCAAAGCTGATGGTGAATAATGTCGGAGACGCGGGACTCAAAGTTCGCGGATTCCCGTATATGTCCCGAGTAACCACTAATGACGTGTAAGTTCTCCCCGCTATGCCAATGAACATCTGATTCAGGTCTGTTGCAACATGGAAAATACTGTTGGGAGACGATGGTCCTGGCAAAATCGGAGAAAATTTGATGGATTGAGATGGATACAGCATGATTGATTCAGTGGTACGGAACTCAACAGATGCGTTTTGTACTTCACCTGCAACAGAAGGAACAAGGGTTGGAATCATGATTTCCCATATTGAACCCGCGGGAAGGTGCGAACCGCCGTATCTTTTGAAAATCAGTTCTTGTTTGGGTCTTTGATTTGCACAGCAAACTGGAAGATATTCAATCTTCACAAGATTAGAGATGTTTGCAGGAGCACTCTCATTCTTCATAATCGGATTGCAGGTCTCATTAAGAATTCCATTCATCAACTTCAGTACCACGAAGGATGTGTAATTGGCTTCGATAGTATTATTGCATGTTGTGGATGTCCACCATCCATAATCATTCTCAACCAGGCATCCAGCTCTCTCAAGTTGATTTTGACTTTGCTTGAGCTCCTCCATGCTGCACAAGTGGGCATCCAAGACTTCACAGAAACCATTGGATTCAGCCCATGACATTTCTACAGGACACCCATTCGCTCCGCAACGACGGTGCAGATCAATTTGACATCCATTTGTGGAAACACATGTCGAGATGTTTGTTCCATTCTCGATCGAGTCAAAGCATTTTCCGAACGGATTTGATTGAGTCACAAGCAGTTTGCCGTCATCACCTGTCGCTATTTGAGCTGAGAGCGACGTAAGGGCTATTCTTCCATCCACTTTCAAATGAAATTTCGAAACTTCAGGCAGCTGTCCGGGAGCAATCGATTGAATTCGGAGAAGTGTGTGAAAACCTGCTTGAAAGTTATCGAAGGAAACTTTAGCTAGAGGTATTGTGGTATAGTAAAAGTTCACACTGGCTTCTGGTGTTCCAGTCCACTGACTTTCTCTGTCCTCAATGACAAGACTGGGTCGATACCTCAAGCTACCGGACAATGCATCGCCAGCTGGAGCGGTGCAAAGCACTGAGCTGTCACTTTGCCACTTCTTGTCATAACATTTAGTCGGGCCGATTTTTGCTTCGAGTTGATCTGGATTGAAAACCCCAAAAGTGCTGAAATAAAAAGTCAGTCGCAAAATGGATACACTACATCAAGTCTTACCTTCCAATGATAGTTATGACCAACGGAGGGTAAGATTGGCCCCCTAAACTAGGGAGATTGTTTGGTGAAATTTTTCGAATTTCAGCCATGTTGTAAGTAAATAGAGTATAGCAGGAATACGGAGAAATCCGAAAGGGCACCGAAGTTCCAAGTCCACTGGAGACAAGACATGAAATGCTGGAGTCAGAAAGCCATTGCGATGTAACACACTTTGTCTCCTTCAAGAAGACAGAAAGAGAATAGTCAGACGTTCCGAGATTCAACCCGAACAATGTAACAACAAAGTTCCCAACAGGAGGACCATTGACTGGAAAACTCGAGTTCACGCACGGTACTGAATAGTTAAAAACGGGTTGCAAAGTACTCATCTGTTGCAAAAGCGTAATCGAAGCTATATTCTCTTTAAAGAAACCGGCAGAAACTTTACAAGCTAATGAGCTCTGTGAAAACCATTCGCTTTGCTCACATGCTGTACTTCCAGCCCTTGCCCGAGAGGAGAAAGAATTGAACCCCATGTTCATACCAACCAATGTCAGAGAACTTTTACCAGATGGATTGACTTCAAGCACACAAGAGGTAATATTTTCAGTATCAAGAAGCGACTGATTCTTGGCGGAGCATTTCGAGTCACCTTCTAATCTATCTAACGCAATTGCAGGGTAAGTGAAAGTGAGGCTCATTGTTCGAATTTGGGATTGAATCGAAACTACGACACTGTCAAAGTCATTCACGCCCGAGCTGCACAGGCACAGGGAAGCAGTGTCCGAGAGCCAAGAACTCCGTTCACACGATGAAGCTCCCAAGCGAGCCGCAACTGTCGAATGCAATAATCCGAAATTTTTCCCTATCATCGTCACGGACTTAATACCACTCAGAGTCTTAGCATAGAAAGAGTCGTAAGAGATCAGATTCTGCGAGGATCCAACCAACTGATGAATGGTAACGATTGCCGTGAGGCCGTCTCCCAATCCTCGGACGTTCTTGCATGTGAGCATGCTGTCTGATTTCCATCTGGTTGGTGTGGAAGCTGATTGACCTATTCTCATTGTTACAGTGCTATCATACTTGCTGAACGAAATGCCAACCGCAGTGTGAGTTCCCATAATCTGCTCGCTAGGAGGAAGGTTTGAAAAAGATGCATATTGTACTTCATTGCCAAGATATGCAAATGCTTCTGTTGCTGTTCCAATGCTCAGTGAAGTAGTAATTTGAACTCGGAGAGAAATTCCGGAGCCTGCAGACATCAACGATCGAATTGAAGAATCTGAACGCCAAAGGGTAGCTTCGGAGTTTGTGAAGCCTCCTTGTACTCGTGGAGTTTGAGAAAGATGCCCGAACCCCGACCCTAGAATTTCCACCGAGGTGTTTGATTGACCTACAACCAAGTAATAGTAACCTGAGCCATGTTGCACATCATAGTTGGTCGGAAACTTGATTCCTTGTCTTCTGTCTTCTAGACTACATGAGCTCAACAAATACCTGTAAACAATTGGTCCCTCAAGCCCATCACATCCATTCATGAATAGACAAGACCAATATTCAGTATACGATTGACATAGACTACGTTGATTCCTTATACGGAGGAAACGATTCGAGCATGTTGATTGCGTCAAGTATGAGCACAGACCAGTTGTTCGTACCGTTTTTAGCCTTGGACTGTCAAAAGACGTTGCTTGAGATTGAGAACCCAACTTGTAAGCTGAGGTGATTTGCAACGTTGAACTAGAAACTTGCATCGATGGTGATTTGCACAGCGTTGAAGAGTCTGACAGCCAGTTCGTCTCCTCGCTCGCTGTCCCTCCTACCCGCGTCCCTTGTGATGTTGATACCAGTCCTATCCCTCGTCCAAGCAGCGTAACAACAACCCCCCCTGTGCTTGCTGAGTTCCAGCGCGTGCTCGCTCCAACCTGCGGTGTATCTGCAGATACCGCACCAGTCATGCTCGAGGTGCGATGGCCTGTCGTTAGGAGTAGGCGCAAGCTGCTTTTCTCAATCTGGGATACCATGCCCGCCGTTGAGGTGTCGGAGAACCAGCTTGTAGAGGAGAGCGCAGTGCTGCTTACGCGAGCTACTGAGCTCACCGCAAAGATGCCGAAGAATGAGCCCTGGAGACTTATCCTAACCGACGAGGTGCAAGGGAGGTTCATCCTCGTCAGGGTGCTCAATGAGCTGGAGTCAGCTGACAATGCCTCGGTGAGCGAAGACGTTTGCAGTCCATTTGTAAGCAAGACAGTCAACGACGCTGTCATCAACGAACCACCTTTGCACATGACGGAGGTGACATTAGTCCAAACTGTCAATTCACAACTGGTTGACCCTGATCTTGATCGATATGTTGAGAGGGCGGAGATGAATCGTTGAGTGCTGGCTAATATGATTTCAGGTTGCAAGTGTTTTGCATTTGATCTTGCAGTGACTGCACTCATAGAAACTAGATCTGATGAAAATACGCCAGATGTTGACCCTGTGTTGATAGCAGACGTAATCATTATTCTCAGAGTATTTGCTGTGCTGTAGGATGGAAGCAAAGACAGAGAAGAGCATGATATCCATACAGTGGATTCACAAGTTGTAGAATGAATCTTTGCAGCCAAAGTTGTATCAAATGATGAATGCAGGCTTCCAAAAACTAGCTTTGTGTGACAAGCAGGGCATCCAAAATTTTGCGATGGCATAGCCCTGACAATGGGTGCATCGATAGACAATGTATGCGTGATAGTAGCTTGTAGCTCCGAAATCGTCAACTTCAAGCTTCTTGTCTTCGATTCACTTGATGCTGATTGACATACAACTTGTGTCTCTGATTGCCACTGAGTTGATGCTGATCCTGAAGAATGAGTCCTGACACGTCCTGAAAAAGAATACATCCCAAAATCATTTCCAGATAAGGATATCATAGTTGCGCCTGTGAAAGGAATATTGCAGGAATGAGTGATGCATTCCTTCAACGTACTAGAGTCCACCGAGAAGACAGAAGATGCTGTATCTACTCGAAGCGTTGCACTGATACCAACCCTTCTTGATGAGGAGAATATCACTGATGTAACACATTTCAACACCGATTCCGACAGCCAGTTCGTCTCCTCGCTCGCTGTCCCTCCTACCCGCGTCCCTTGTGATGTTGATACCAGTCCTATCCCTCGTCCAAGCAGCGTAACAACAACCCCCCCTGTGCTTGCTGAGTTCCAGCGCGTGCTCGCTCCAACCTGCGGTGTATCTGCAGATACCGCACCAGTCATGCTCGAGGTGCGATGGCCTGTCGTTAGGAGTAGGCGCAAGCTGCTTTTCTCAATCTGGGATACCATGCCCGCCGTTGAGGTGTCGGAGAACCAGCTTGTAGAGGAGAGCGCAGTGCTGCTTACGCGAGCTACTGAGCTCACCGCAAAGATGCCGAAGAATGAGCCCTGGAGACTTATCCTAACCGACGAGGTGCACGGGAGGTTCATCCTCGTCAGGGTGCTCAATGAGCTGGAGTCAGCTGACAATGCCTCGGTGAGCGAAGACGTTTGCAGTCCATTTGTAAGCAAGACAGTCAACGACGCTGTCATCAACGAACCACCTTTGCACATGACGGAGGTGACATTAGTCCAAACTGTCAATTCGCATGCACTCCCAGCAGTTCTTGCTGCCACTGTACTACGATAATCCTGAATTCCCAAGGTCAGGCTAATTTGGAGTGATCTATAGGAAGCATGATTTGTTGCAGTGACAGCTGAGAAATGATCAGAATCTGTAGACCATGCTTCAGTAATAGTTCCAAAAGATATTGCGAGGCTAAGAAGCGCTTTCTCGCTAACAGCAGTTGATGCACATTTTCTTGCTAAAATACTGGATGAAGAGAACCATATTGAGGACTCCGCCGCACTTTGCCCTACCCGACAAGACAACGAAACTGGCCGCTGAACACCAGACACCATTTTGAGCATGAGATCTTCTGTATGATGAAAAACATTGGTCTTTGACATGTGCGACAATGAGGGAATGTCGTATGAAGCAATGACGGAATGCGTACTTTCTAATCTGCTGCAAGAAAGTACTAAGGCGACAGAACCAAATGAACCAAATCCATAAGAAATTTTGCCAAGTATTAATGTGTCTGACATCCATAAAGAGGCCTCACAATGGGAATAGCCTGTACGTAGCTGAAACGAAGAAAGCCTTACTCCCCCTGCTACTACTGCATAGGATAACCCATGAGAAATATAATTTTGAGACCCAAAACTCCCTGACAAAAAAACAAGATCAAACGAATAAAAAGATGAACTCGTCCCCGTGCCTCCGCTCCCGCCCCCTCCTGCCGTCACCCCTACCCGCATGCTCCTCCCCTCTCCTGCTGCCTGCTGGCATGACACTGCCGTCTCCGACGTCCACGCCGTGCTCTCGCTCCCCGTGCCCCCGCCCCGCCCTTGACCTGACCCCTCGTACCTCCCCAGCCCTGCCCCGTACACCGTCACTCCCGTCGACCCCGTCCCGGCCCTGTTCCCGCCCTCCCTTACCCCGCTCGCCCCCGCCCCGTCTGCCGAGATCGCCTCCGTCCCCGTGCCTCCGCTCCCGCCCCCTCCTGCCGTCACCCCTACCCGCATGCTCCTCCCCTCTCCTGCAGCCTGCTGGCATGACACTGCCGTCTCCGACGTCCACGCCGTGCTCTCGCTACCGCTACCGGCTATCCTTGTCTTGTCGCTATTCATTGCGATACCTAGGCCCTGACCATGGATCGTTACTTGTATGCTTCCCGTCGCCGCCTTGTTCGCTCTACGGATGCTGCTTATCGTCGCTCTATCGTTGGATAATGCTTGCGTCGTCGTCCCTGCTGCCCCTGTCCCTACTGTCACCACAGCCCCTGCTGAAGCCCCGCTGGCCGATGCAGCCCTGCAGGTCACTGCCGTCTCTGACTGCCAGGTCGACTCCGGTATGCTGGTGGCTCCTACCCGACCCCTGGATGACAAGTCCATCAGACCCAGGCCCGATCCCCAGATCGTCACTTGCATCGACCCTGATCCAGCTGTATTCATCCTCTCTGCTGCCGTCAGCGTGACCCTATCGCTCGATACAGCCCCTGTCAAGGACCCTCCCTGCCCTCCCGTCGTCACCGATGCTCGGAGGCTCGAGCCCGTGCTGGCTGATGCCAAGCATACGACGCTTGTCTCTCCTACCCAGTCTGTGGCTGAGCAAGCAGATGCCTGTATACGGCCGACCGACGATGCCTGTCCGCTCCCAAGCCCTGCACAGTGTAGGGTGACGCTTGCACTCCCTGTGCTGGCCCTGTTGCCCGGCTCGGCTGTGCTCATGGTTGCGAGGTCGGTCGAGTACATGGCAGTGCTGCTTGCGGCTGTCTCCAGTATTGTCAAGGTGACCTGTGCGCTGGAGCCCCTTGATTGTCCTGCTCTACAGATGACGGCCGAGTCTGATAGCCACTCCGATCCCTCGCATGAGCTGTGCCCTGCTCGCACCGTCGGGCTTCTGTCTGAGCTCCCAAGCTGTCCTCCGACTACAGTGACGTGTGCCGACCCTGTGGCTGCCTGGTTTGATCTGCCCAGCCATGAGCTCACCGCCCCCTCGTCCCACGACAGTTGCTCCGTCACGCTTCCGACAGACCCTACGGATGTCAAGGAGACATGGTGACTTCTGCTCGCCCCCGCCGTGCCCCTGCATCGTATCGAGGTCTCTGATTCCCAGTCAGTGCTTGTACATGCGGACACGCCTAGCCTCCCTTGCGGTGATGACATCGCGGAAGACAGCCCTGATCCTTGTACCGTCATGCTCACAGACCCTGTACCTGCGCCGTTGTGTACACGCACCGAGCTCGTCTGGCTAGCTCCTGAGCTCCAAGCTTCTGTGATGGTGGCTACAGCCTCACCCACGGTCAACGCCAGCGATTTGCTTTCGCCTGATCCTCCCGACAGCCTGCAAGCTACCGCACTCTCCGACATCCATGATGTGCTCTCTGCGGCTGTTGACCCGGACTGTCCCCTCCCTGTCAGGGACACTGTCCCAAGCCCTAGTCCAGTCACAGTCACAAGCCCCGAGCCAGTGCTGCGTGCGTTGACGCTCGCCCTCCGCAAGCTTCCTCCGTCCCAGGTGATCGCCTCGGAGACGCTTCTTCCTGCTACCCCGCCTACGGTCAATGTAGCCCCGGATGATCTTGCCGGGCCAAGACCGCTCGCATGACACGTCAGGCTCGACTCCGACTGCCATGCTGTAGCTTGACAAGCCGTCATGACCGACGCCGACAAGCTCTGGCTTGACAACCCGTATCCCTTGCCTAGCAACCTAACCGTAACATAAGCTGAGGGCTGATTGGACACGACAGCGCCTGAAACATCCACACGATCATACGACACCAGGTCCGATCCCGTCCCGACCAGACTAGTGATAGTAAGCACGATCTGCCCGCATGCTCCTCCCCTCTCCTGCTGCCTGCTGGCATGACACTGCCGTCTCCGACGTCCACGCCGTGCTCTCGCTCCCCGTGCCCCCGCCCCGCCCTTGACCTGACCCCTCGTACCTCCCCAGCCCTGCCCCGTACACCGTCACTCCCGTCGACCCCGTCCCGGCCCTGTTCCCGCCCTCCCTTACCCCGCTCGCCCCCGCCCCGTCTGCCGAGATCGCCTCCGTCCCCGTGCCTCCGCTCCCGCCCCCTCCTGCCGTCACCCCTACCCGCATGCTCCTCCCCTCTCCTGCTGCCTGCTGGCATGACACTGCCGTCTCCGACGTCCACGCCGTGCTCTCGCTACCGCTACCGGCTATCCTTGTCTTGTCGCTATTCATTGCGATACCTAGGCCCTGACCATGGATCGTTACTTGTATGCTTCCCGTCGCCGCCTTGTTCGCTCTACTGATGCTGCTTATCGTCGCTCTATCGTTGGATAATGCTTGCATCGTCGTCCCTGCTGCCCCTGTCCCTACTGTCACCACAGCCCCTGCTCATGCCGCGCTGGCCGATGCAGCCCTGCAGGTCACTGCCGTCTCTGACTGCCAGGTCGACTCCGGTATGCTGGTGGCTCCTACCCGACCCCTGGATGACAAGTCCATCAGACCCAGGCCCGATCCCCAGATCGTCACTTGCATCGACCCTGATCCAGCTGTATTCATCCTCTCTGCTGCCGTCAGCGTGACCCTATCGCTCGATACAGCCCCTGTCAAGGACCCTCCCTGCCCTCCCGTCGTCACCGATGCTCGGAGGCTCGAGCCCGTGCTGGCTGATGCCAAGCATACGACGCTTGTCACTCCTACCCAGTCTGTGGCTGAGCAAGCAGATGCCTGTATATGGCCGACCGACGATGCCTGTCCGCTCCCAAGCCCTGCACCGTGTAGGGTGACGCTTGCACTCCCTGTGCTGGCCCTGTTGCCCGGCTCGGCTGTGCTCATGGTTGCGAGGTCGGTCGAGTACATGGCAGTGCTGCTTGCGGCTGTCTCCAGTATTGTCAAGGTGACCTGCGCGCTGGAGCCACTTGATTGTCCTGCTCTACAGATGACGGCCGAGTCTGATAGCCACTCCGATCCCTCGCATGAGCTGTGCCCTGCTCGCACCGTCGGGCTTCTGTCTGAGCTCCCAAGCTGTCCTCCGACTACAGTGACGTGTGCCGACCCTGTGACTGCTTGGTTTGATCTGCCCAGCCATGAGCTCACCGCCCCCTCGTCCCACGACAGTTGCTCCGTCACGCTTCCGACAGACCCTACGGATGTCAAGGAGACATGGTGACTTCTGCTCGCCCCCGCCGTGCCCCTGCATCGTATCGAGGTCTCTGATTCCCAGTCAGTGCTTGTACATGCGGTCACGCCTAGCCTCCCTTGCGGTGATGCATTTCGCGGAAGACAGCCCTGATCCTTGTACCGTCATGCTCACAAGATCCTGTACCTGCGCCGTTGTGTACACGCACCGAGCTCGTCTGGGCTAGCTCCTGAGCTCCAAGCTTCTG